TGTTTAATATTTTATAATTTGTTGACTAATCTTACAAGCTCGTATCTGGGATTCTAAACAATTAATTTGAGCACAATAATATGCAGTATATTTGTTGAATTTCTATCATTTTGTTTAGTGAAATTCTATATTATCTCTAGTGTTGTTTACTATTGCTTTGTATTTTCTTAACAGATAGATATAAAGATTTAGTTTCTGAGAAGGCAGCAACAAAGCAAATTACCACTGAATTAAAAATGAATAACCCTGGCTAATGTCAATCTTGTAGCTTTTTGTAAAACTTTAAAATGAAGCGATGTGGTTATCATCGTTGCTTGTAAATGTGTGCAAACCCACTACAAAACCCAGCTGAGGCCAACACTCCTCAGTTGGCTATTGTAGAATACTGTACCGTGTGGGGGGAATAAAACTTGCTCGTTCCCATCCTCAGTCCCTGTCAGGGCCTCTTGTTGCATCTGCCATCACAGACTCTCATTGAAGACTTCTATCAGATCGAGATATACACCATCTATTCCTATATTCTGTGAGGTTTTATCATGAATGGGTTTGTGACTTTGTCAAATGCTCTCTCTGTGTGTCTTGAGTTAGTCATTTGGTTTTTGTTCTTGGCTCTGCGAATAAGTATATGTTATATTTAATAACTTTTTCAATTATTATTTAAGTTTTTGAGACAGGGTCTCACTGTGCAGTTGAGGATGCCCTTGAACTCTCTGTGTAAGCCAGGCTGGCCTGAAACTCTCTGCAACCCTCTGCCTCCACTTCCCAAGTGCTGGGATTCCAGGGAGGCACCACTACACCCCAGTCTATTACTTCCATTCTTTGGCATATGTGGAAGCATCCCTACACTCCCAGGATAGATCCTGCTTCGTCACGGTGTACAATCTTGGTGATTTGCGGCATTCTGTTTGACAGTATCTTATTGAAGATATTTGTGTCTAGTCTTCATGAGGCAGATAGGCCTGTACTTCACTTTTCTGGTTGATTCGTTCTCTGATTTGGTATGAGCTAATTCTTGCCTCCAGGAATC